AAAGAAGAAAATGTTCAAAGCGGTTGATGTGCACAAATTATTAAACACCTATTGATCTTACAGAAGTATTTTTCTTATTGGGGAATTCAGAAAAGAAGGGAGATCGGTTAAGACAGAAATAATTAAGGAAGATTTCAGAGAAGGGCTCAAAGTTGGAAAAGGGTGAATGTTTAGGTTTAAGTAGATATAATTAAAACAGAAAAGGAGAGGGCTAAGGGGTTTAATAGACTTAAAATCAAAAGCAATCATTTTGAATGTAACAAGTGATATATCTTTATATATTTGTACTTTTTTACCAACATTATCAATATTATTTTCCATATTTGATATTTTGCTTAATCTCTAAAGTACTATAAACTACTACTTATAAAATTTGAATTTTTAAATAGTTTTATACTTTAAACTATAACTTTGAGAGCACATTGCTTATAATTTTCTATGAAACACAGACTCTTGTTCAATATTACCTATATTCTGAGTGTTTGATACTTAGTAAAAGCATAAACATTTCAATCAGGAAAACACTTTAGAGTTAAAGTAAGCTGCCCACTCCACCCTCAACCTCCAAACTCCACAAAAGGGAAAAATGTCCCAGAGCAGGGGGCAGGGCTCCTAGTCAAAGACTTGGACACAATGAGTTGTCGCTTGAGCCTGAATCTCCAGCTTACAACTTCCGATTCTCTTTGGCACACCATTAGTTTCCAAATGTGTTGCTTTGTTTTTCAAGATTTCCTAAAGTAAAATATTTCATGTTCTATATAATTCTAGGTTGATTTGCTGCAGTCAATAATAAGCCATGTAAATTAGCATAATCTTGAAGCCTTACTGGATATTTAGGCAGTGCAAATAAGATTAGAAATGTGGTCATTCACTGAATAGTTATTATTTATGAGCAGCTAGTATTATTTCTCAGACACTGTGGAATGTAAAAATTTGAGTCTTTAAAGAGTAATTTTTTATAACACAAACATTATTTGGCAATAAAATTTAAAAATGATGACAGGTATTTATAAATTTTAGAAAAAAAATTTCATAAAGTTCTAGATAAGATTAATAAACAAAAGAGAGTAAGTGTGCATATACTTTTTTCTCAGTATAGTTTTAAATCAATTTATTTCTGTATTTTTGATTTAAATGCTTATGAAGAAGAAAGATTAAATTCACTAGGTAAAAATGTGCTTCCTTATATGATTTAAACTCAGCTTTGTGATATAAAAGTAATAAAAACTTTAGAAAAAAGAGTTAAAGTAAATTTAATGCTCACAAAAATTTTTAAAAAATTTTGTATTTTAGAAACCATCCTAAGTAACTAGATGTTTGATAAGAGATGTTGTTTTCTTCTTTGACTTTTAGACATAATATAGAATACAGTTTCGTAACACAGGAAGGATAGTTTCTTTGTGTTTAAAAAGAATCTTCTCTTAGCAATGAATTTCCTGTGTTAATTTTGGAGGAAATTATTAATATTTGACATTTTGTTTAATCTCTAAACTACAATTATTCATTTGGAGGATATTGTGACTAAGGTAATGTGAGGCCATCTGGCTTTTGTACTTTGTAAAATAGAGATGTAAATGAGCTCTTGGATTTTTTTTTTTTGCTTTAGATTTTTATTGTTTAATAAAACATTAAAATAGTAAACAGAGCTGTGGAAAATATCTTCACAAGTTAAAATACATAACGAACAAAAATTTGAGTAAGTACTATTAAAATACTAAGTGAGGTATGCATATTTAATAAATAAGTAATCATCCAGTTTTAATAATTTATTCAGAAAATATTAAAATCATACACATGTTCTAATACTTATTATTTAAAAAAATTATCCACCATATTTGAATAATGGTAATATATTTTAAATCAGTCAGGAAGCTTCTCTATTTAAAACATCTTCTACAAAGACTTTTGTGAGAACATTCTTAAATGCAAAGTAATTCATGTAGAATTAAAATGTTAACTTTTCACACACACCTTGCCTACTATGAGTGTAATTCACTTCTTTGGATGCTTTACTAAAAAAATATTCCACTGGGCATTTTGTTTCCCAAATTTCCCAAGTCCATTTATCTATACAAAAAAATCTGCTGTTATAGCTAACCCTGCTCCATGATGACGTTCACAAATTTTTTAGAAAACCTTTTTAGAAGATATGCTATTTAAGCTGCTCTCTTTGATATTGTGCAGTTTCAAAGGCTTTTTGAATTTTGGAAGCATCTGTACTTTGAAACAAATTATTTGTGATGTTTCACCTGCTTAGTCTTTAAGTTTTTCAATAACTCCCCAAGCTTCTCATTAATTGCCATTACAATGGTAGGTATCTAATATTGGTGTATACTCAAGTCAAATACTTTTCTTCTAGTTTGTCACCTCTCTCACTGACTTTTGTCATGGCATCATAAGAGCATTTTCTAGGTTTTGTAGAAGTCTCTCTTTGTCCTTCAAAATGGTCCTTAACATTAACCAATTTCTTTTTAAAATCACAGGCAACATTCATCATTTTCCCCACCAGTTTCAATTTTTTAAGTTACTTTTCCTATTTATACTGGCTTCATCTGAGGGTTCTTCCTTATATTGCCGTTGCATTTATTGAACAGGATGTGTTTTAAAATGTCCATAATGTACCTCAAGGCAAAGCACAAAGGAAACAAACACATGATATATTAACAATAAAAAAGAGAAACTAATATAATTGGGTACAGAGGGAAGACGTCACTAAGATGGCATAGGAGACAGCAGCCTCCGTTCCCCCACAAAGATCGTCTAGACAGACAGCTATCTATGAACAACAACAGCTCTGGGAGAGCTCTGGAGTCCACTTAAGAAACTTCAGCAACACTGTAGAGCAAAACACCTGAGAGTAGTTGTGAGTAAGGAGAAGGAAGACAGCCTCATTTTGCCTGCATCATCCCATCTCCCAAGCAGGCATTGTTCAGCGCCAAGAGAGAAGTTCCCAGCTAGAAAGAGTTCCCCTTGCCAGGAAAAGATGAGCAGGGTGAGCAACCAGTTTCTACAGCCCTTCAGGGCACTGCTCAAAGATCCCGCTTTGATTTCACCCCCCACGCACTGGCAAAGCTGAGACATGTGGAGATAGCTAAGAACAAGGAAGAAAAGCAGATGCTGCCAAGAGCAGCCATGCAGCAAGAGTCATTGTGGTTCACAGAAACCTGCTTTACAGATAAATCCAGAAGTTTTTGTCATTGAAGAAGGAACCAATGGCCAGCACAGCTGCAGAGGACCACATGCAGATTTCACCAGCTTTTGTTTCTCAAGTATTCCCACCAGTCACCTGAATCTCTCCCTATTCCTTCCCATCCCTGCCCCCACTGAAGCCTGGGAATGGCACCAGTAGCCAGCCCATTCCTCTGTGGCTACAGGAGTGCAAGATGTAAGCCTAGACCCCCATAGCTGATGCTTACCACTAGGTACATGCTTGGGGATAGCCCCTCTAGCTGTGTACTTGCCTTCTTCTTCCAGCCTGATGTCTGTCACCAGCCTCCACTGTTATGCCAACACTTGGAGAGAGACTGTGCAGCCACAAGAGAGCGTGCTGACAGCTAAGGCCCCATAGCTGCTTATGGGCCCAGATCAGACCATGTTTTCTGTCACTGGCCTGTACCACTGTGCTCACCTGCATGCCCTAAGCCCAGCCACTGTCACCAGCCTCCATTGCTGTGCATCCGTAGTAAAATGCAGCAGCCACAGTTATACATGCTGACAGTAAAGACCCCCACAGCTACCTGGGTACTGCAGTTAGCTGTGGTCCTGGCTGCCTGCCTTGGCTTCCACCATTGTGTGTGTGTGTGTGTGTGTGCATGCAACAGACTCTTTTCACTACACAGCCACCTGTTTCTGGCTGCTGCAGCCAAGTGTGCATACACCACCATCTTTGGCCACCACTGCTCCCTGTCTTGGTCTTTAGTCACTGGACTTGGAGTTGCTGCTAAAGACACCAACAGCTTTTGCAGACACAGCGGACTCCTCACAGTGCTTGACAAGGACCACATGGTTGTGAATGCTTTGGTCTCTAGTGGCCTGAATCAAAAAGACAGCATGCCCTCCTGGACCAAGTGCTGCCACATAGTCCCACACTTGGCACCTTATACCACTAGACTCAGAGTCATAATATGTTGCAATGTGCTACCATTCCACAGGTGAAAGTCTTCCCATATTAAAATTAGCCTATAAAGTCTGGAGAGGTGACTGCTTCTTCAAATGGACAGACACCTATACAAGGCTACAGAGATTATGTAGAATCAGGGAAATATGAATCTATCAAAAACTACAATAAACTTCCAGTAGCTGGCCTGAAAGAAATGGATTTCTAGGAATTACCCATCAAATAAATTCCAAATAACTATTCTAAAGATGCTCAGAGAACTACAAGAAAACAAATAAATAATTTAACAATATCAAGGAAACAATACAAGAACAAAATGAGTTCAACAGAGACAGAAAACATGAAAAAGAACCTAATAGAAATTTTGGAGCTGAAGAATACAATGATTGAACAGAAGAATTCAGTAGAGAGCTTCAACAAAAGACTTGAACAAGCAGAAGAAAGAGTCAGTATGCTTGGAGACAAATCAATTACTATTATCCAATCAGAGGAAAAAAGAAAAAATGAAAAAGACTGAAGAAAATCTATGTGATCTATGGGATACCATCAAAATAACCAATTTTCAAATTATTAGAGTTCCAGAAAGAGAGAAAATAGGTGACAGAAAGTTTATTTACAGAAATAAAGGGTGAGAACTCCCCAAATCTGGGGAGATATTTAGATATCGAAGTTCATGAAACTCATAAGTCCCTAAATATAGTCAACTTAAAAATATTCTCCCCAAGACACATTATAATAAATCTGTCAAAAGTCAAAGACAAAGAATCTAAATCTTAGTCTTTTTATTCAGCTTGAAGAACCCC